AGAGGGGCGGTTATTGAACTCTTTGTATAGTGCAGACACACTTAAATAAATATATCGTTTCCATTTTGTTAACTGTTTGTTATGTCGAGTGTTTCTGGAGCGAATATCTCGCGATAAACAAGGGACATCACTGTATACCTCTTTTAAGACCTATACCAGAAGTTCAACAAGGTCAACCACAATGTTGTGCTGGCCACATAATGTCAACGTTAACCGTGAGCCACTGAAACATCTAAAACAGATTGGATTTACATCCCCTGTCCTTAGAGATCGCAAGGACTGAAAGGCGAACTTTTTATTCTGCAGTCGACACACTGACCAATGGCCTAGATGTTATAAACACATCAGACGTTAGCCATTAGATATTGAGGCACATTACTGTTGATGCACATTACTGTTGAGACACATTACTGTTGAGACACATGCATTACTGTTGAGACACACACATTACTGTTGAGACACATTACTGTTGAGACACATTACTGTTGAGACACACTAACTGTTGAGGCACACTACTGTTGAGGCACATTACTCTTGAGGCACATTACTGTTGAGGCACATTACTGTTGAGACACATTACTGTTGAGCAGTGCTCGATTTACCGCACTGTGAGGCTCCATCCCGGCTCTGCTTTAACTTTTACCACCCCCGCCGGAGATGGTATTTATCCCCGGCTCTGCAGAAAATTTTTTTTTTTTTAAGTCGAATAAGTGCAATCACGAAATTTTTAGTTAAATGGAAAAAATTGGTACGTTCATCTACCGAATTAATCGAAATAAACGTAAGTAAAAATAATTCTAAGTGTTTCGTTTTCTTATATTCTTTGGTTTCTATTTTAAGTTTACTTTTCTTTTGTCACAAAGCGCGGTTTATCAGAATTATAGCCTATTTTAAAAAAATATTTTTAAATTTTGTTTTTATTGAAATGTCTAAAGAGCCGTCTTGTAAAAAATTTAAAACATTAACCCAACAAAAATTGTCTTTTACGAAAAATACTATAATCCAAAGAATGAAATCTCACAGTGATGATCTTCAACTTGTTCAGAAAACGTCTTGTAGTAAGTCATTAATTATTAATAATTTATAAATAAAATAAAGCAATAAAATATTATAAGTTTATTTATTTTGACTTTAATGAGTTTGATTTGAAATTAAAATCAAAATTCATAAGCAGTTGAATATATTTTGAATATATATATCCCCGGCACTAGTTTTTTCCTAAATCGAGCACAGCCTCACAGTGCCGGCATCCCCGGCGGTAAATCGAGCACTGCTGTTGAGGCACACTACTGTTGAGGCACATTACTGTTGAGGCACATTACTGTTGAGGCAATTACTTATGTATGTCGATCAAGTTACATTGACGGGAACTATGTGTGTGATCGATCTATTCCCACGCTTGGGTTCGTTGATAAAATACTAATTCGATCTTTGAACACTGTTCGATTTAAATCAGAAGAATTGTGTTTTTCTGTTTTTCTTAAAATGTAATTGAATTTAAGAGTTTTTTTTGTTTGTTTGTTTGAAAGAACTGAGTAATGCTATTGATTCAAGATAAAAACATGTGTTCGAACTGTTGAACTACTCCCACACCTGAGATCTAGACTCTAGTGGATATTTTTTTTATAATGGAGGCTAATCCATAAATATCAAAATTTTTTTTTCTTTTTAAAGACAATACCATCTTTCTGCAACTTATTGTTTTACATTGTCATCATTTTGTGATGCCCTAAAACTCGTGTTTCATGTTTCTGCCAGTATCAGCTTTCTCTCTGGGCACGTTAGATACTCAGGAGAAGATGGAGAACTTAGATCTGCTATCAGAGGACATTGCGTATTGGTTAGAGCCGGACGACCATTTCATCCAACCAGGGAACATCTTGTTGTCACGTGCTCGGCGAGACGCTTCGAATACCACAGGTGACCTGAGCATTTGGGAGAAGATCGAGGTAAGATTTGAGGTCGTTTGAGATAGGTGCAAGAACAAAGCTATTCAATTGAAAGTTTCCCTTCAGACAATGCGGTCTTTAAGGCAGATGATGTAAAGGTCATCTGTTCATGTGCCCCACGGTTAACGAGGGTGTCATGTGGCCAGCATAACCACTAATAGCAGATACTCATTAGAGCTGGCACCCTAAAGACCCCGAAATTAAAAATCCCAATCTTCATCAGGATTCGAACCCGGGACCCTCTGGTTCGGAAACCAAGTGCTTTACCACTCAGCCACCCCACCTCATATTCAATGTAGACCCTTAGTAATTATTTTAAAACATGGACACGTTCTATATATCTATCTATCTATCTATCTATCTACCTATCTATCATTCGAAAATACAATTATCCTTCACTTAAAATTACATTTCCAATGACAACAGTATTTTTTTTAAATACTAAGCAATGTATTATGCATAATAACATATTAGCCTGAATGGTTTAGTTACTCGCACAGAAAGTAAACACTCAACACATAGATTTGTATTATGTTACCTGTATACACTTTTGAATACATAACATAAAAAATTGGTATTGTGTTACATGTATAAACCTTTGAATACCTAACACATAGATTGGTATTGTGTTACTGGTATAAACCTTTGATAACCCAACACATAGATTGGTACCGTGTTACCTGTATAAACCTCTGAATACCTAACAGATAGATTGGTATTGTGTTACCTGTATAAACCTTTGAATACCTAACAAATGATTATTTCCATTCGCTTGCTGTGATGGTTGTTATGACCTGGTTAGATTTTCTGCTCTTCGTCGTAATGACATGTGACTTCCAAACAAATCACGTGACCTTGCAGACGTGAACATACAGCTGACAGGGAACTGATATCTTATTACCATCCTTAAATTTAAATTATTTAAATTGTGTAGACATTTTGCTGGTTTGAGACTGTGTTATTAAAGTGTCTTGATTTTTCTGTCCCAAGTGACATTTCAGTTATACATGTTTTAAACAAGCCACACAATAGCATTTTTGTTACTATTGTATTGCTAAGTTTGTCAAGTTTTGTCATAATAACTATACATTTACAAAAAAAAAGTTATTTTTTTTTTAAAAAGAGAAAAATTCTATTTAGTATGCATATAAGTGGAATATAATTTAAAACAACAATTAATAAGTAGTTTTTCATATTACCACGTGAACTGCGGCATGCCTCTGTCAACATAGAACACTTAACTAAAGGAATTTTTTTTCTTGAGGCTTTGAATAAGAGATTGACCCTTTACAAAACAATTAGATCAATTAGATAGTCATTATTTAACATCAGTAAGTCCAGGTTCACATCTAACTTCACATTCACTTTCAGCTATCCCTTGGTCTGCTGGACCGCTGGGGCACCACACAAGATCTGTCAACCTTCTTTCTCCATTCTTCTCTGTCATTTGCCTTTGATAGAATTTTAATCTGATATTCTTTCTGAAAATATTGAAACCTGCCTTTTTTGCCTGCCTAGGTGGACCACTTCAGGGGCCGATTTTGAGTTTGTATTTCCACACAAACTGTCTTTGTTACCTTGTTTATTTGATGCATTGCGACAGTAAAGATGTGTTCATTTTTATACTGCTAATTATTCCTTAACAGATAAACCAAAAAGTAGTGCTCACCAAACACAACTCAGCTCTTTAAACACAACTCATCTCATAAAACATAATTCAGCTCATAAAACATAATTCAACTCAGCTGGGATTCGGAATTGTGATCCGTTGTTAGAAAGTCAAGTTTTTACCACTCAGTTACACACTGTCTATTCAAAGTTTTCAAGTAACTACAAAGAAAATCGTTTAGATGCATTTTTTAAATTGAAAAATGAATTAGATGGCTTTGTATTGGATAATTCCATCTATGACGGATAGCATTTAAATAGCCATCCTTTAAGTGTACAGAATATAGGAAGTAATGATATGCTATGCATTTTAAAAGGTATAGGATAAGTTTTGTGTCTACTTTCTTCAGCACTGTAAAAATGTAATTTTACTCGACATCATCTGCCCCATAGATCGCAAAGGTCTGCAAAGGGAACTTTACTTCTTACTTTGACAGCACGAAGTAATTTGTAGTATTTAGTTGTTAACTCTGATAGGGGAACTTTACTTCTTACTTTGACAGCACGAAGTAATTTGTAGTATTTAGTTGACAACTCTGAGCTCTCTGGCCTCAGTTTCATCGTTCTGTTTATTTAGTTCAAAATCTTGCCACTATTCCCTATTGTCATTTTCTTTAGTTTTTCTTTCTCTCTCATTATAATCATCTGTTCATTGACTTTAGGGTTGCTGTGAAAGTTCGTAAGGGTGCTGTGACCGTTCGTAGGGGGTGCTGTTACAGTTCGTATTGGGGCTGTGACAGTTCGTAAGGAGTGCGGTGATGATTCGCGTAACCAAATCCTTGCATTTTCCACGGTCAATTTTTCTTTAGGTTACCTTATCTCGCTCCCACATTTCTCATTATCAATTTCTCTTCTTTTACTATGTCACTGTATTTTATTTCTAAAACAAGCAAAATACAAAGAAATATTTAAAAAAAAAAAAGCAAAGTTCATATTAAGTGTATCAATTAGTTTGGATCAGTCATGTAATTAAATTTGTAATAATCCTCAGCGACAATCTTATATAGGGGACTAATTCAGCACTATTTCTTTCCCTTGGAAAGGGGACTAATTCAGCTTATACCACTACTTCAGTCAAGTATTATTTATTTCCCTAGTTTGAAATATCAAACAAAATAATTTATTTCCAATAGCCAATTAACTGATTGGGTAATTTTTTAAATTGATTCTTGTGTTCTCAGCTAAAAGAAATAATTGTGCAAAATGTCAGCTTGGTTGTGGGAGAAATAACGTACAAACTTTTGGCCAGACAGACAGTCAGAGTTGATATAAACTTTGTAAAAATAAAAATAAAATTAAACAAAGTGGAGATTATTGTGTTTAAAATTGATCGTTCGAATCAGCAATGGAAGTGAGGACTTAAAGAACTAACGACAGACATACATTTTGTTTATGTATAAATTTATTGCTAGTTTTCTCTTAAAGCGTCTAAAGCATACATTATGGTCTTATAACATTTGAATATAGATGTTCAGCTGGTTAGGTTTGAATCACCGTTCAAGTGTGGCGAAAGTATAAATCAATAATCGCAAACAGTAAACATATACATCTATAATTTCACATTACATTGTAGTCATTATTGATAACAGATTAATATCAGACGAAATCAAAATATAAAATGGTTCATTGTTGTTTACTTCCATTTACATGACATGACACATTTATATGCAAAAATACAAGATAAAAAAAAACTAAAATAAACGAGCAGTACGGAATATGCTATATTGGAGTTGGCATCACTGGTTGTAGTTCTGTTGAGGTGTAATAACAGTCTGATCAGTTCATAAAACACATATGGTAATTGAGGGCAAGTCTTTAAGTGCATAAAACAAAGTTGACCAGAGAACAGACTTAATAGTAGCCGTAGCCTCCGTAGAGTCCACCGCCGTAGCCTCCAAGACCGAAGCCTCCGAGTCCTCCGTAGCCGCCGAGACCTCCGTAGCCGCCATAGAGTCCGCCAAGGCCTCCGCCAAGGCCTCCGCCAAGGCCTCCATACAAGCCTCCGTAGCCACCACCAAGGCCTCCGTACAAGCCTCCACCGTATAATCCTCCTAGACCTCCTCCATAGAGACCGCCAGCGCCGTATCCAAGGCCGCCCCACAAGGGTAAGACTCCTCCACACATGGCGCCAGCAACAAGGCAGGCAAGAAGAACAAGACTTGCAACGTTGGCCATGATGACTTGGTTGTCTGAGGAAACACGTGACACATTGGGTAGATGTAAGTGTTTTGTTAGAAAAAATAATTTACCACACTAAAAGCTGTAATGACTCAACAATTGTTTTATTTGTATTAATCTCCATTAGTTATGACTGTTAGAGACTATTTGAGAAAATACATATAACACTTAGCTACGCCACGGACGGTGGAACCACAGACCTAAATATACTATGTCTAGACTGGACATGGAGATCTTTTAACACTACAAAAAATGTCGTGAAAAAAAAATTCTAAAAAGCTAAAACAAGGCGTTGTTATGTACAGTAATTCTAAGAACTATTTTGTTTTCAACCCTAACCTATGTAACATATTTTACTGTTTAGATCTAGTAGTCCGAATAATTAAACATAAAAAATAAGAGCACTCTCGTCTCATAATTATTATTTTGCTATTTTTAGATACATAATCTAGAAAGATCTGGGTAATCAATCTATTTAAATGTACATAAGATGATTAAAATCGACAGACGCGAATTCTTTCGATCTAGGATTTTCGAAACATTATCTCGAATCTAACAAGAAATGGCTTTATTTCATATGTTTGCATGAATATATAGTTATGGGATTAATAGCCCATTCTATTGAAAATCCACAAAATGTTACAGCATAATTTCTAAACTTTGGAAACTAAAGATCATTACTTTTCTAAGACAGAAAAGATCAATTTTCCCAGATTCGAGGTGACTTGCCTTACAGCTTGAAAAAGAGTTACGTACACAACATAACAATCTATATAGATCTATATATAAGTCTGTGATCTGATCATTATCGGATAAGAATTTATTTCAATTTTCCAGTCTAGGTATAATACATTTATATTGGTCTAAGGCAGGGGCGGACTGGCTATATGGGCAAACGAGCAAATGCCCGGTGGGCCGGTACCAAATGGGCCGCTCTGGTCGCGACCAAAGAAAACGAAATTCAATGAAGAGAACTTTTTAAAAAAAGTGACAGCAGCAAGACACAAAGGCGTTTTCTTGTTGTTGTTTTTTTTACTCTTATTACAATTAATTTTGTTTGAAATTCAACAAGAATATAAAAAACAAAAACTATACACTATACACTGTACGTATTATCATTTGCAAAACGTTAGACCGTACTTTCTGCTATGCACGAGCGGCATGGACTGCTTTGATGTCTTCGACGTTGTGTTTGGCCTAATCATTTTGCTGGTCGGCATGGGCCTTTGATGGCACTCCCATTTTTTTTTGCTCCTTCCCTCCCCCTTCTTTTAATGGTTCCAATGAAATTTAACCAAAAAGAGGGATGGGAGAGGTTAAGTTAGAAGACATTGATATAACGCAGCAAAAAAAAAAGAAAAAAAAAAGATAGGCGCGACAATTAGCTCTTTTACAATACTTAATAGAAATTAACTTTAACACATACATACAGCCGCGAAATTGCAAACTACCCAACTTATTCACAGCTCAATATGGGTATAAAGCTCTACTTACTGCGATTTGAAAAGAAAAAGTAAGTTTCTTTTTGTTTCTTTTTAATAACATAGATCTAAAAATACTGCATTTAAGGCTTTCAAAAAAAATATTTAATTAAAAAATAAATCTAGATCTAAATCAATTTTTTTACTATTATAATTAATGGCAAACTTATGCTTAGTATGAAGTCATTAATGATGAAAATTCGTACAATAATTACAATAATTTATATAGCGCTGTCACATCCGATATTTAATGAAAGGACATTTAGGCCTATATTTTAAATAATGGGTCATGGTATATTCATATACAAATCACGTTTTTGAGAATGTACTAGGACGAAGCAAGAGATTTTCACATTAAGTAAGTACCTCTCTAACCGTTCTCCTTTCTCTTATCTTTTAATGGAATGGGTTGCCTGAGTTAGCCAGGAAAACCAATGATTTAGCATATTTTAAGTCACAGATCAACATGCATGACTAGATTGAAATGCGTAAGACGTAACAATCTTATTTTTTGAAGAAACGTCTGTAATCTATAAGTAATACCAAAAAAGCTTCAAACTCATTAGACTGCTATTGTATTGTTTATAGTTTTCAAACTACATACATGTATAAATAGAATACATTATGTAATCCTACGAATGCATACATCCAGTTTTCGATGCGTTATCAAACTTTATATATTTTGTAGAGAATTAGGCTTACACCTATAATATAACACATGGGCGTAGCCGGGAGGGGAGGGTCTTCAAACCATCACTTGCCTCAGACCTCATTGTCTGAAAGGGAAACTTTACTTACTGCCCCAGTGCAGTCAACTTAAGCAAACTACAGTCACCAAATTACACGAGCGTAGCCAAAAAGGGTTTTGTGGTTTCCCTTCCCCCTACAATACAAAAGCTAAAGCAAAACTTTAGTTACCATTTTCTACCAGTAGCTGGACTCCATTAATTAAGTGCAATGAATAGCAGGTTTGGTTTTTGAATATTTTTTAGCGGAAGAGATTGCACTGTAGAGACCTCAGAATATGCATTTTTAAAGCTTAAAATAACGGAAATAATGCTTGGTTCCGGGGCTACGCCCCAGACCCCACTGGGGGGAACTCACCGCGCTCCCCCTGACTCCCTAGCTGCTCTTTGGCGGTGTGTACTGTCTTTTCACTAATTATAGGAAGAGAGTATTCTAGGGTAGAAAAAACGTTTGAAAGAATGAAAGATCAGAATGTAATGAAGATTTATTACATCTACACACACACTAATATATATATAAATTGCGGCGTGGGGTAAAAATCCCCCACCCCCACCGAAAATATATGACATGGCATTTGTGGGCCGGTTTATATGGTAATGCCCTGGCCGATTTTGATACTCAGTCCGCTTGTCTACGGGTGGAACATTTTGGATGTCAATGAGTCTAGAGAGTCTTCTTCATTAACATGAGGTATATATCACGAATTTACGATGCCCTCTGTCTAGAGTCATTTTTAAAACATATTATACTAGCTTTCATAACAAGACTATATTTTAAATGATACATATAAATAATACTAAAATAATATAAATTAAGTCACCAAATTGTAACAAATAATAATAAAATTACATTGAAAGCTACGGCAATAACTTTTAATGTATATACAATTTGAAATTCTGTTTTAATGTGTCTGTCCCCTTAGCTTCTTTCCTTTAATGATGTCTGCCTATAAAACAATAAAACTATAAGACTATAAAACTAATAAAAGTCACAGCCACAACCGTTCTTAATCAAATTAAGTCCACACTATTACACTGTCCTAGGTGTTTGCATTAAAACATTTCACAACCTGCTATAGATAAGTAAAGTTTCTCTTGTTATCAGACCATGCGATCTATGGGGCAGATGATGTTAAAGCCATCTGTTTCTATGGCAGGATGTCATGTGGCCAGCACAACGACAAACCGCCTTTACTTTATTAGTGCTGATTGGACTTGGGTGGGCTCCCAAAACAGTCCCAAAATTCAAAATCGCAGTCTTCACCCAGATTCGAACCCAGGACCCCAGGTTCGAAAGTCGACCTCTTAACCACTCAGCCACCCGCTTTGGGTAACAATAAAACTAAAAGACCTGTAGAAATCAGACAAGGGGGATTAGGAGACAACTTAATTTATACATTTATAAAAAAATAAAGTGTATACACAGCGGGGAAATGCCAGTAAAATCGGTACACCATGCTTAAAGAAAAACTGTATAAGTATTTTAAACTCTGATTTGCATATAAAGATTAGCAGTTCTACCTAGAGACTTATTTGCCTTCATTGTCATTTTTTTTTCTTCACTATACATTGAATGTAACAAAAAAAAAAGTAAAGTTACCCTTTCAGACCTTGTAGTCGATAGTCAACTACCAATCACCTTTACTTTTCCTTAACTAATGCCAAGCACCCAAAGATCTCGAAACTGAAAATCCCAGTCTTCACCAAGATTCGAACCCGGGACCCCCGGTTCGGAAGCCAAGTGCTTAACTGCTCAGCCACCTCGCCTCTATAGAATGTAATGTCATTATAAAAAATATATTTTTCTCATTTATAAAACGCAGTGCACTTTTTCAGATTTACAAAAAAAAGGACTAACAAATAATAGAAGTATATGTACCATATGTTTGAATATGTAAGAAAAATTATATATAAATATATATCAACTAACTTAGAAAAAATGTAGTACTCTCTTATCATTCTTTAATTAAATGCAATGACGTGATACTTCTCTACTAAATCTACATGTGTACACATTCAATACTCAGGCTAATGATGTTGGGAAGTTATTTCCTTTCATTTTTTAAAACTTATTGAGTGATGAGCATGTCTATATAACATTACGCAGCTATTTAAAAAAAAATCACTTATTAACAATTTCTACATTAGATTTCCTAGCTGGGCCTAGTGCAAGTAAGTTGACACTTGACACTAACCGAGAAATAATGTGTCGTAAGTGAACATCTTTGCATTAAAGTCTACATAGTCGCGGGGTTTTACTCATTATTTAGAGTTTCTTTACTTTTCTGACTCTTTCATTATATATTTTTTTTGTGACCCTGCTTTAAGAATTAGATGCACGCTCTATAAGTCAAAACCTTGATTCACTGAAAGTGTTTTTTGAAGCTATTGATCACCGCGTCACCTAGCGGACATTAAATTATAGCTCACTTATCTAGCTACTTTCAAAATGACTTAATCACTTTGATAGATGTCTAACCAAAGTGGAAACTCAGCCGTGAACAAACTTTTTAATGAGGCTTAATTTATTGTTGACGGTCTTTCAATGCATCAAAGTTCCTGCTCAATTTTCCTAAGTATTATTCAA